TGTAATTTGATACAAGTAAATGATTATAAAAAAGAACACTAATAAAAATAAACTTGAAATAGTTATTCATATGAAACAAGAAAATAACATTGTACATATCCAAACAAATTTCAAAAGGAGATGGGTGAGCAATTGGTTACAGAAATAATAGAGTGAAGAGTTAAAAATGTCCTCAAAGAAGGCAACATTGAAAGCACCCATTTGGTGGTAAAAGTTAAAACATTGCTCATTCTTGGGAGATTTTACTTTATTTCTAACTTAAAACTCTAATACCTTTTTAATTCTTTGTAAAGAATTGGTTGTGGTCTTATATAGGATATACAGGCCTTATATAGATCAATGGAACAGACAGATATTTGGCAACAGCTAAGTTACTCATTCCTCAAAGCAATGTAGGACGATGGAAGTATTTGCATTTTAGAATCTGGTGCTGAATGTTAAGTCTAATTTTTTGAGCTATGTGAATTTGGGACTCCTTTAAAAAATTGATTTATTTTTAAATCATTTATTGAGTGTCTAATATAGAGTAAGAAAAATGTTGCCTTATTTAATTCTCACAGTAAGTCTATGAGCTAGAAATTATTGTCCACATGATCCTTCCATTTCTCCAATATCTTCTGCTTTGTTATTTTGGGGATTAAGCAAAACAATTATCAGAAAATGCCAGTGAGTTTTTCTCCTTTCTGTCTCTTTCCTGGGAACTTTGGAAAATGCATATATTAAAACAGAAAAGACGCCTCATGATGTCTCTTTTCTTTGGATCTGTAGAGTTACCAGAGTGAAAAAGATGAGAAAAGAGGTAAACTTAGTACATTCCTAGGATTTAGATCTACTGGAAATGTCCAGGGCCCCTGCAGACTTCCAGACACAAGATTGCATCACCTATCATAAAACTCTATAGCTGTGTTTTTCTACCCAGTTCACATTTACAGTACTAATAAGGCCTTCAGCACCAGTCATTTCCAGGGAATTAAGTCCTTGCAGTCAGTGGGTTAAATGCCCTCAAAATAACCTGCAGGTGACCCAATTGCATTGACCTCAAGTACAGAATTTCAGATCAATAGCTGCAGTTCTTGGATTCTGAAATATAAAACAATCTCTAGTGTTTTTGTTACCCCAATGAGTATTATCAGACAGGGGATCACTATGGCAATTGTAAGTTCTTATGATATTAATGTTTGTTTTTGGTCCAAAAAGAAACTATTTTAAAAAGTAAATGCCTTCTGTTCACTCTCCTTAGAATATGTAATGATGACTTTCAAACATAAATGAGAATTAAAAGTAATTCAAAAGCACAAGTGGTCATCAACTGCTTGTACTAGAAATAACATTTCTTCCTTAGATGCAAAATTTTCCAGGTGGATGAAAAATTCCTTTTGGTCAATTCACCTTTTGACTCTGCCATGAAAGAGTAAAGGATCTCTTAATTTGGGACCAAATAAAAATGTTAAGCCTTCACAAACTGGGCTTGGGAAAGTGAAAGAGAAAAAGGAAATAACATTATGTTAACATGAACTGAGACATTGACTGGCACTGTATTCTGCTCATTTCTAAACAAAGAACAGAAACTACTTTAGGTATTTACACCAACAGAAGGAATTAATTTGATGCAGGAGACTGGTTACCCAAATGATGAAGAAGCTGAGAGCCAGATAAGGAAGAGTGAGGTAATCAAGAAATTAGCCACGCAGGAACCTCTTTAAGGGCTAAAGGGGCAGGGAAAGGAAGGTCTGAATCACCAGATGGATGCTGGGTCCAGAGTGGGCCCATCCTTCTACAGCTAAAGCCGTGGAGGGGATGGAGCCTCTGGAAAGGAAGCTATCTGAGGCAGATGGGTGGGCAAGGGTGAGGAGGTGGGGGGATGAACTGATGAACTGGCTGGCTTTTGCCTTCCCCCTGCCCCCACTATCTCCTGCCAGTGGCTTCCACTGGCTCAACAGCAAGAAGATAGCCCTCAAGAGCACCTGTGAAATACAACTGGCTAGGTTCAGCCCTGACGTAGAAGAAAGCACAGAAGGGAAGGGCGAGGATCTGAGTGCAAAGAGACCCAAACTCAGCCTACATGGTCATCCCCTGTGAATTCACTTTGCCTGGTTTGTCTCTTTTCACTTAAAGCGAAAAATTCATGGGTGGATCTCATGAGCTTCTTAAATGTCCAAATTTTACAAGAGACAATGTGAGCTATAATAAAGCCCAGCACCCCTCTGGGACTGGATATGAATGTCCTTATAATTTTGAAAGATTTTTTAGTTCAATTGGTGCACAACAGAACAAAAGCACCTGCTCTGGTGTGGTTTTTACCATTGCTAAGGAAGTAGGTGGCCATTCTCCCATCACTTAAGGATATTTAAAGATGAATTACAACCTGTCATTTACCCTGAGTCAAGAACATGCTTCAAGGTTATGCCAAAAATTCATGAGTTAGTAAATGTATGTCTCTGTCGAGCATCGTAACACATTTCTTAGCCATATTACCCTGTTGGTTTGTCCCTCCATCTTACCTATTAAAAATAATGACATTCTACTATTTTGAGTTATTTAAGGCAAAGTTGCTAAGTGTTTAGTCTGTTTGGGCTGATAAAAAATACTATACCCTGAGTAGCTTAAAAACAATGGAAATTTATTTCTCACAGTTCTGGAGACTGAGAAACCCAAGATCAAGGTGCTGACAGATTCAGTGTCTGGTGAGGGCCCACTTTCTGATTCATAGACGGCAACTTCTAGCTATGTCTTCACATGGTAGAAGAGGTGAGAGTTCTCTCTCAGGCCTCTTTTAAAAAGGCAGTAATCCAATTCATGAGAGCTCCCCCCTCATGACCTAATCACCTTCCAAAGGTCCCACCTCCTAATACCATCAACTTGGGGGTTAGTATTTCGACATATGAATTTTGGTAGTGTACAAACATTCAGACTACAGCACTGAGTTTGATTCTCCTTGCCTTGAGCAATGAAGGAAAAACTCTCCTATCTCGTCTCTTCCAGATTTACTTTCTCAAACAAAGCTCATCTGGAGAAACACTGTTCGCATTTGTATTTTTAAAGGACTTTCTTAAACACTATCTCATTCATTCTCACCATAACTCATTTTCATAGGGATTAGCTGAAACTCTTGCTACAGCCATCAGTCTCAATAGCATTCTGCCTGACTCAACTCTACCTTGTTCAGTTCTGATCACATCTGTATTTTCGAAATTCTATCCAATTTAGACTTAAGTCTAGGATATCCCAGGGATGGTCCCATTCTTTATAGAAATTCAAAGGACACATCCTCACATGGGTTCTCAGGGCCTGCTTTCCATCTCTCTAAAGCTAAGGGAATGGCTTGTCGAATATCTTTTGAATTAGGTGAACTAAAGGAAGCTTAAATGATGGGTATCCTGTATCATAGCCCCCAAAGCAGCACACATGCAAGTGTGTTTCCAAATGAGATAATTCTCACTTGAATGTATGGAGATATGATGTAAAATCTGTACGACTTCTTTAAACACACACAATCAGAGATAGTACCCACATGTAAGTCCTTCCAATTTCCTGCCAGCATGCTGTCCCAGCACTGGGAGGGTTTGCCATGCTTACATATTCTAAGACAGAGCATCAGAATAAACTGTTGTGGAAGTGCATGCTTGTTTATTTTTCTTTTATTCCTCCTTTTTAATTGAGCTTATGAGATCCTGGGAACTATAAAATATTGCTCTTTTTGAGAAGTGGAGAGCTCATGAAGTGAAAAGTCATGACAAGGGATAAGAACTCCAGCCTCAACTCAAAATCCATAGTAAGAGTACTATTACTACATAAAACAACAGCAACAGCAACAGCAATAACACCACCAACAAAATCTGAAACTGTGAGCCGGCAACAAGAGAAAGACTTAGGAGAAAAATCTCTTCCTTATTCCTCTTGATATCATTTTGCCAGAGCTTTCAACAAGTGTGAAGACTATTGTGAATAAAAAACAGAATAAAAGGTCATCTACAGGGGCTGTTCTCCAACATGGGCCCGCCAAATACCCATTCCCACCAATGGAAACACAGCACACATAGCAGTCCAAGATCAGACCTCCTAAGTAGAACATTTTTCTCTTGAAGGTTTTTCTCCTTGGGACTTTAATTAAGCTCCTGCCAGGCTTGCAAGCTTTTCAATTTTACCTTTCTTTCTTCTTTCTTTCTTTTTCCTCCTCAAATCAGCTTGCTTGCCAAGAAACTTTTCCCAAGCTGTCACAGTTATGGTAAGCGTACCATAAGATATTAAATTTAGATATGCAATGGTAGTTGCTTCTCCATGGATCAATAGCAGAAGTTCCATTGCACATGGAAAAGATTTTCATTCATTCATTCATTCATTCATTCATTCATTCATTTATTTTTACTTAAGTATGTGTGCTTTATGAATAAGAAAGTAATAGAAAAAGAAGCATCATATAAGCAATATAACTCACACCCCCAGAAAGTCACTAGTTAGAGAAGAAATTTGCCATTACTTGGTTTGATGCTTACACTGCTCATAAGCAAATTGTAGCCGACTATTTACTAGTGTTGGTGGGTGAGGGGTGAGTGAGCCAAGAGAACGTGATGCCTCAGTCAACGATTTAACACATATTTAATGAAACGTAATATTGAATTTACCTAGTTTCCTTTTCAAGACCCCTTTGTACTCAAACTCATTGCAATTCTGAAAGTACAAAGGGGTGTGAAAGGTAACCCCTTTAAAGCAGATTCATGAAAAGCTATTCTCATTTGAGGAGGCTTAGTTAAAAATTGCCATCCCAAATAGAATGCCATCTTCTTTTTTTTTTCTTTCCTTAATTTATTTTTTTTAAAACTCAGATAATATTGCAGGGCCAGAAATAAACCATCAAAAACACAAAAACTAAAATGGAAGATATGGAGCATTGGGGATATTATCTATTCTCCATGATTATTATTACCATCATTCTTATTATTTACTTGACATTCCACGATGCCGGGTTATTCCACCAGCTGCTCCTTCTCGGAGGTACTTACTGATCGCCTCCACAAACCGCTCAAAGAAACTGTAAGGAAAGAGCGGCTCAGGCAGCTCCCGGAAAAACATCTTCAGTGCTCCGGTGACAACGTGGATGTCCTCCCACTGGCTGTCGTCCAAATTCAGCTTCTCTTCTGGGAAAACACGAGGAGAAATGGAACAACTGGTTTTAATGAAACAATTACAAGACACTAATTATTATGTTAATGTTTGCCTACTATCATCAGCAACCGTTAACAGCCTTCTGCACCTAGAGGTTTGGTGCTGTGCATGTTTTTTTTTCTTCCCCTTTTTTTTCCGTAGGAAGGGAACATTTTCAATGGAATACCATCTGTAGGAATGCAGCTTACAAAAAAAAACAAGAGACACAAAGAGACAGTGCCATTGACGCAGTGTGTCAGATACATTTATTCCCATAATGCATCAGTATGAAAATTAGCATCACAGCTCAACATGATTCAAAGCTATTTGGTTTTGAGGCCGAGGGGCTAAGAGTTGCCAATGATGGCCGGCTCGAGGGACCGGCCTAAAGGCCTTGCTGAGCCAACAGGAGACATATGCTAAACATGGCAATAGAAAATGAGTTATTGCTTTACATGTGTTAGCCTTGCTATGTACAAGGGAATAATGGGTAACACTTTTTTCCTTTTTTTGCCTGAATATAAAGTCAGCAAGGAATAGAATACTGAGTGAGAAAGGATATTAATTCCTTCTTACTGCTTAACAATATCTTTTTTTTTTTAGTTTTCATTTCAGTGAGGAAAATGTGCCCAGCAACAATATTAGACAGACCCCTGTTGGCCTACGTAGGCTATGCAAAGCTGTCAAAAACGATAACACGCTAAAGACAAACCACAAGTGCTCACCAACTCTTTTCAGAAACAACAGAAATGTTTGCTTGGGAAGTTTGAGTGAGTTGAGACATTGGAATATTTATGAAAATAAATGCCAAAATGAAGGTTTTTAGTTGAAATAAAGTGTACTGGGCAATTATTTTCTTCCTTTAGGCCCTCAATATGAAAGCCTGGAATCATTCTTACCCAAGAAGTGGATGCATTAGTGTCTGAACGTGGCATCTTTACATACAATTAAAAGGCAGCAAGGCACAAAGGCGTTGCTGTTGACCCACAGGATTTGTCTTTCTAAACATGCATCACGGAAAAGATTTTGGATTCTGGGCTTAATGAAAACTAAAGCTAATCATTTTAGGCAATCTGAGGGTTAACTGAAAAGCAGAGGATCCTGGCAAGAACTTAACAGGTATTTGGTCACCTGTAATATTGTTTCATTACTGATGTCTTGTGCTTACACTCACACGCCTTCTCAGTGACAGTTGTATGAACGCAGAGGAGCATTTTGCACCAGAAATGTAAGAAAAGCTGAGAATTGTCACTGTAGGGATTCTCGGCATGGAATGTTTTGCTAATAGTGTTCATATCCTTTTAAAAATATTAGCCCAGATCTTTATCGGATTCTTTTTTTCTACATGGGCTATTATTTCCAGAGGTAGTAAGTGACGTTCCTGCTCAATAGTATGTTTGTAAAGAGAAAGAATGAAGGTGGATCTGTTTATTTCAGATGGATTATTTTCTTCTTCCCTTTCAGTCTTCATTCCTACCTCAATCATAACACAATAATATGATCCACAACAAAATCAGCAGAGGAGACCTTCCTTCTGCCCTGCAATCATTTTTGATTGATTGTATTTCAACAATTAGTCTTTTATTTGGCTACACGCTATTGAAATAAGCCGACAGCATCTTAGCAGGCCAGCTTTAAACAGTCAACTGTTAACAATAGCATCAAAAAGGGAGACCTGATGGGGTTTACTGTCACTTTAAAGAACGGGGTTTTCACATTGTTGAAATCTGTCAGATATTTTGAAATGTCCCTCTCACTATGGTGCCACACCCCCTGCGTGCCCTTATAATAAAATTGGTTTTACTCCTGATTAAATCATTTTCTCCCTACCCACTACCATACTTCTCATAATGGACCTGTGCGCTCTACAGCTGGTGTTCTTCCCATGGTACCAATTCTTACTTTATCTTTTAAGCACTTTGCTGCTAAGATCTCATGCAGAGTGCTTATGTTTTGTTAAGAGCTTCATTCTTAGAGAAATAGCTTAACACATGTTCTAAAAATGTTGTACAACTTATTGCTTAAAACACATTTAGAAAATGTATAAGTACTGTAGTTTTGGCACTGAACTTTAAATGGAAACCTAAACACACACACACACACACACACACACACACAATAATCTCTAACAAAAATTTATCAGTCCAACACAAAATGCCATATTGGTGCATAGGTTTGAGATCGCTAAAGGAAAGTGTTCAGCAGGTAAAAAAGAGAATGATTTTTATCTTCAGCAAGAAAACAACAACAATGAAAACAAATCATTGTTTAATCAAAGGAAAACACCACTGATATTAGTCACCTCCACGTAAATAAGAGTTAATTCAAGTGAATGTGATCATGGAATATTTCAATATATTTAAAAGAAAATTAACCAGTCAGTGAATACCATTTGATTATGCTCACTTAGATGCTATATGATATCAGTATCAACTTGTGTCACTTTAACCAATATTTCTACTATAGATACCTATGCAGTCTTATTTAAAGGAAAAAATAATAGGTAGACCTCCAACAGGTAGCTTAAATAAACAATATGGCAGGTAGTTGGAAAGAGTCTTTTGGAATATAATATCTAATTTTTATACCAAGTTTTTAATAACCAACCAAGGTTAAGATCCTTTATAAAGGATGTTTAGGCATAATTTTTCAAGGCCACTGTGATTTATCTAAACTTACAATTACGGCCATAAAATACGCCTCCTCATGAAGCCAACCAGTAATCCTATCCTGGTGTTAACAGGTATCATTGCAAATACATTTGTAATAAATTTGAATCCATAGAAGTTACTCAACAGATATTGATTTATGAAGTTTACTTTAGGTGGGCAGGGAACTAGAAAATTAGATACCCACATGCTGAGGTTTCCTTAATATGAACTTAAGAGTTGGTAATTATTATTGACCAAGTGAAAACCTTTTACAGAAGGAAATTCATATGACTACATTCAAGATACTTTGCAAAAAAAACCAATAAGCACCGATTATTTAGTGCTTAAATTATACCGTGGACTATGCTATGTACTTTACATTGATTATCTAATTTAACTTTTTCTGAAAAATAATGAGGTAGATGCTATTGATATTACCATACCCATTTTACAGATAGGGAAAATGAGGCATGCATAGATTAAATAACTTTCCCATTGTTGACAAGTGATGAAAACAGGTTAAGGATCCAGTAAGTCCCTACTATATTCAGAAGCACTATGTTCAGACAATCTTGGCTGGAAGAAGCAGAAAGGGAAAAGGCAAATAAACAGTAACTGCAAGTGGTAGTAGATTGACTGTTACTTCAAAGATAGTGATTTTTACATTTTATACCCAAATGTCTTACCTGAGGCTATGCTTTTACCTGTAAACTGACTCTGATCTTTTGTAATTACTCATTTATAGAAGGCTCAGATGTTATATAAACAGATATAAAACAAATTGGTAATAAAAAGAAAGTGCATTAGGAAAGGGGCAGAGATAGAGCAAATTGTTATATGGTGACAGGGTGAAGAGGAAATATGAGTGGAAGAGATTATGCAAAACACCCATTCCAGGCCTGCGTTTTATCACAAATTCATTGTATTTTATTCATTTCTTTTTTTTTTATTTGTGAAATGAGGATGGTTAGAAGGATAATTGTTGGTATCAAATGGAAAAATGTATCTGAAAAACATTTGGAAAGCATAAAGAAACAAACATATCCAAGATGTCACTATGATGGGGAAGGTGAATAAGGGCCAAAAAGGCGAGACATATAAGGGACTAAGGCAATGCAAATGCTGAGCAAATATTGGAAACCACCTTGGTTGTTTTAGACGATTTATCTCAGTGTGATGCCATTTGTCATATGGGATCAACAAAAACTTTACATGCTGGAGTGCAATTCTTGGAAGAAGTCTGATTGAAGCAAGGTATCTCACAACCCTAAACTCATAATCTGTGCTGGTTTCTCCTGGCCCACTAATTAGGCTATCTTACATTTATTTGGGTTATGGCTTTTGTCTTAAAGCATATAAATAGAATTGAAGGTGGGTCAAGCTCCAGAATCCAAAAACTGTTTGACTTTTATGAGATCACAAAAATATACCTAGATGTTGTATCCAAACAAGGCTGTCTTGAAATGCCCTTTCTTAAAGGGTCTTTAGTGAATTTTATTTACTTTTTAAGTAAAAACATTTATAGTTTTTATAGCAAGCTAAAAAAGTTACATTTGAAAGGAACATTTGACAATAGCTAGAAGTATTAGGATCAACTTTTCTTAAAAAGAACTGAGAGACAGACCTTTGATAGACATAGTAGGTCAATGGTAGTTTCCAAGGAAAAAGGAGCATTTGAATATCAATAATAGTTTAACCACCACTTTCCTCTTGTATTATATATTGCTCTATAAATTGGCATAACCAAAAGTTGTAATATTAGGTCAAATTTTACCTAGACTCAAACAGTTGTAACCTAGCGTTGGTTGAAATGTGGCTGCACTTGAAAAATCCAGAATAAAATAGTAAGATGAGAGTAAAAAGGTAATTCTCCTTTGCGTACTGAAAAACAAGTGCTTTTTTACATTGTAATGTTTTTCAAGACACTTTTAAAGCTTCTTTCCAACTTTTATTTTACTGTTGTGATTTTAAAAAAAAAAGGAAAAGACATCACAACTTTCCCAGGAAACGGAGAGAATAGCTCTGATTTCATTAAAATCGTGACAAGAACCTCTTACATTGTGAACTCTCATAAAGGCTGTGGCATCTGCTTCCTAAGAAGATGACCATTTGGAACCTTATCTGAAAGGCCTGCTGGGTACATGAAAGTCATGTCATGAATGAAAGAGATGCCAGAGGGACTATTGATCCCCCAAATAATAATATGTGTAGCTATAAAATCAAACTGGAAGATTAGATATTAAAGTGGATAAAACTACACTATTTATCTGTAAGGATAGAGCTGATTTTTAGTTTAGTGTTTATAGAGTGGATCAAAAGGAAGTTGGTTGAATCATTCGACT